CCCCCTTCGCCTCCGGCGCCCTCCGTGGGCCGCGTGCCGCAGCCCGCTTGCCAGGCGATGCCGATCCTGTGACTGCCGCGGCTAAAGCTGCAGGGACGTCAAACCTCTATTTCGGGGCTGTTAATAGGATGGAGGGGGGGTGGTAACAGTCAGGTCGACTAATGGATGTTTTCGTGTTCCGTGCTCAACCTTATCGGGGAGGAGTCATTACTTTGCTTGCTGGAGCGTACGTACTGTACCCGTATCCAGTTATCGCCTTGGCAGCTGTAAAACCTCTGTTCCCATGACAGTTTCAGACGTCACCCTGAAGAAGCCCATGTTGTTTACAGTGAGTGGCTGGAGTGGCTCTCTTAGAGGATTGTGATCTTAGAGGATTACAAATAAGTTCTGCCTCTAAACGGGAAACATAGGAGTATGCCCCCAAGGAATAGGCTGTGTCTTGCTGTCATATAACAGCATTCAGCACAAGCATATACATGCATTTGGGAGAACCAGCCAGTAACAGCACGATGACTGAAAATGCAGAGCAATGTAGTCCTGAAGCCCGTGGTGAACTTCAAGATGGTAATTCACAATTTTGTGTTAAAATTTTCCTTTTTTTTTTACACTTTTTTGTGTTGGGCTTATTTTATAGGCTCAACTAATGGATGTGAGAGAACATCTTTTGCATTTCTGCGACAAGAGCTTCCTGTGAGGTTTGCGAATATTCTAAAAGAAATTGATCTTCTTCCTGATAAGTTGCTAAGCACTCCATCAGTACAACTAGTAAAGAGCTGGTAAGTAAGAACCATTAAAGTCTGCCTGCAAATAACATAACATTAAGAACTGTTGTCCTAGACTTAAGTAATAAGACAACCGCAAAATACACTAGAACTGCAGTCTGTTCATGAAAGCTGAACTGTAAGCTGTTGCATATTGTCCTTGTCTAGCATACTAAAGTTAAATGGAAAAGCATGGATATTTAATTGTGTTTTTTTACCTAATAGCTTGAAATAGCTCATACAGCAAATCTAATTTCTTTCTTTTAAGAAGGGAGAGATGAAAAGGTGTCTTCTGTTTTCATCCAGTTCTTACAGATCTGCAAAGTTGACACAAGAATGAGAGAGCAAGCTACATGCTTGCTTGATTCTCACTGATGAAATTGTTAATAAGTTTCAGTTCTGCAGCAGACTGCCTTGGCATGTGCACTGAGTGTTTGCAATTCAGTGTACGTGATCGCTGTGGTTACTAATAGTGGTTGAATCTGAGTTAACCTTGTTTTACTGGCATAACTTAGTGTTTGAGGATGGCTGATGTAAAGGACAAAAAGCATGTGAGTGAGATCCAGAAACTGTACTTAATCTAGCAAAGTATAGCTGTGCCTTTGCAGAGCATGTCTAGGCTGTCAGAGGTTGTCCTAGCTTGACTGGACAAAGAGGCTTAAGTGCTCAGCTTGTGCCAAGCTGATCAAGATCAGGAAAACACTTGTTTAGGTGGCTTCCTGATCAGTACTTCTGAAACACCTCACTCTTCCCAAGAACTGTTCAGGGAGCCTAGGTCCCTAAAATAAGGCTTTAGGTTTCACTCTGGGTGGCAGGCATGAGAAGTCATTCACAACTTCCAGTGTTCAGGCATTCAAGAAATGACTATCCATAATTCCATACTTTGATACTTCAAGTTTCTAGCTGACTTAAGAGTAATGATTAGGACAAGATGATGTCTTTTTCCAGCTCCTAGACTAATAACAATCAAATAAATAGCATGTGTTTCTTGTATTCTTTTTAATAGGTACATCCAAAGCCTGATGGAGCTGGTTGAGTTCCATCAGAAAAGCCCAGATGACCAAAAAGTCTTACATGAGTAAGTTTTTCATTTGTTTTCATTGAGCTTTTCATTGCTTACAATGTAGTCTGTTTAGAATGACAGCACTGTCATTAGCTCAATTTGATAATCTGGCATGAAATATTGCACTTAAAGCAAACTGGTTTAATCCTTGATCCTGGTGTATTAATACTGCCAATAAGTATGACCTGTTGTGGCTTTTGGAGGCAGTACTTTAAGCTATCATGACAAATCAGCAAAAATTGTCTGTAATGTCACATGTGAACTTGAGGTCTCTTACCCTCCCCGCGCTCTCCTCTGCTCAGGCTGTTATTAGGGAATAAATGGAGAGTGAATTTGACATGCTAATGAGCACACCTCTCCTATTAAATTCAAACTCTTCTGCTTTAGGTCAGTGAGGAGTTCCAGTCTGGGGGTTTTAACATTAAAATACTTTCAAAATAATGAAAAGGTTCCTCTGCAGTTACCCCTGTTGCTGGAGTACAAAATTTTGTGCAAATCTTGTTTTCATGGAGTGTTAGAATAATGTTCTAAAGAGATCTCTTTGATCTAGCTTTATAGATACATTAATTAGAGTCCGAAACAGACATCATGATGTGGTTCCTACAATGGCACAAGGAGTAATTGAGTACAAAGATGCTTTTAAAGTAGATCCTGTCACCAATCAAAATATCCAGTACTTTTTGGATCGTTTTTACATGAGCCGTATTTCTACCCGGATGATAATGAATCAACACAGTAAGTAGAAATTCTATCTGAGGAAAAATTTCAGCCTAGTGAGAAGCATGTTAGTGTAAACTTCTCTTAAAACTGTTGGAAGATCTGCTTCAGATGACTTCCTGTGATAGTGAAAATTTAGAAACAATGTATGAATTTTTATGGTAATAGGATTTTGGTTATCTAGACTAAATGCTAACTGTAGTAGGTCTTGCACAGAAGGGATCTCTTAGGGATCTCTTTTTGCCTCTGAAAAGCCTTTAGATGTTGAACCAGAGAAGTCAGCATAGCTTGCTGGCAGCAGATAGCATTTGTAAGTTGAAAAAGACATAAACAATGCTCAGTATCTCTTGTGATTATGTGCTGTGATCATACTGTGTTGGTCTGAACTTAGTTTTTTGTAATATAGTGTTTGGAATTAAATACAGTATTGTTTTCATCTCAAACAGCCCTTCTCTTTGATGATAATGCCAGCTCAGGGCACCCAAGGCACATTGGAAGTATTGATCCATGCTGTGATGTTGTTGAAGTAGTGAATGGTATGTATGCTTTCCGATCATAAAAAAAAAAAAAACCAAAACTGTCTTCATGGTTGGTGTTGCAAGTAATTAACAGGCAACCAACATGTGTTTGTATAGGGTGCTAACAGTTTTTTTGTAACAAAGTGGCTGAAAACAGTCGGCTGAAATGTGTGCTTCTGTGGGACAGCAATTTAAACTAACTGTAAAGTAGCAGTAAATTGTGTCTGAATAAGGCCTGGCGAGTGATAAATGAGGTGGGAGTTAAGTCATCAATGATGCTGACATCAGCATCTACTGTTAGATAATTATACCCTAGATACATTTGCTTTACAGAATTATCAAATTGTACTAAAGATTTGCCCCTGCTGCTATGATTGCCTATTTAGTCCCAGTTCTTTATGTACAGTGGCTGTGACATTATCCCCTGTGAAACACATGCTTATACTTGGTAACACCCTAGTAGCAAATGCAGTTAAATTTTGCTGTGTGTTAGATTGAATTGCTACAGTGTTTATTTCACTTCACATGTCTTATTTAAACAAATATTTCAGATGCTTTTGAAAGTTCCAAGATGCTGTGTGACCAATATTACTTAACATCTCCAGAACTGAAGCTTACTCAAGTGAATGGTAAGATAGGGGCTTTTTATGTCTTTCTGGCTATTGGTAACCAAATTGCCTTCTCTATTCCGAAGGCTCCTGTTTCTGCAGCCATAATGGTACATACAAGTGTGTCTGTGCTAGTTTGTGTGCTTTTACAAGCACCTCATTTAATCTCGCCTGTTAGAACTCAGATATCATTGCATCTTAAATACTAGATTTTCTGAGGTAACTTACGTGAATTTGAGGAAGGAGGACTATTAGTCTGTACTTAATGTGATAAGTTGTCAGAGAGGAGCAATTTTTCAGGTGGAAGTGGGGCTACTGACTGAGAAACATTCGTTCTAGTCCAGACTGCCTGCATGTCTCTGGTCTTGGGCAGCCTGCTTAACCACGAAAATCCTTTACTTGTAAAATGGAATTAATATTTGTCATCTGCATAGAAATGCAAAAAATACAACTTTCAGTTAATTTTCAAATAAACTATGATTAAGCAAATGATGATTACAGTCAAAACACTATGAGTTCATAAAATTGTCCATTTAAAACCACTAAGACTTGAGGTATTTTCCTGTTTGTTATAACATAACTTGCTTACTATAAAATTCAGAAACAAAACAAAGTTCCATCTCCCTTTTAAATTTTGAATTTTTCTTTCCTCTAGGAAAATTTCCAGGAAAACCAATAAACATTGTATATGTTCCATCTCATCTCTTTCACATGCTTTTTGAGCTCTTTAAGGTATGTAAATACAAGCTATTTCCTCCCTCAGTATTCTCAGCAGGAGCTTAAGTATTTAAATTTTCTAGCTAGGTCTGAGTGGATTAAAGTGTTGTATAGGACAGTGAGATTTCTAAGAAGCTGTTACATGGGGAAATAGCTTAGCAGTTGGGAAAGGAATGATTGCAACTGGTAGGAAAATATTTGGACATTCTCATGTGGTTATAACTGGGGCAGGGTAAGGGGGAGAGAGCTCGAGTAGGGCCTTCTAGTTATTTAACATGGAGTTGTGACCGTTGGTATCCCTCTGCTCTTAAATTATTCCTTAGTGCATTTTTACCCTAGTGTCTTGCCTGTGGGTTAGGCATCGTGAGAGGTAGTGAATGGGGCTGACTTCATGTGCAGCTAACATGGGGTGCAGAATTCTGGGAATCGTTAGCAACTGCTGACTTGAGCTATTGTCCAGAATCCTACTGACTTTAATGAAGTTACTTTGATCAAGTTTTGTGTTGGGCAAGAACAATGCAATCTTTCAAACATAGTCTGCACTGTTTAGTCACTACTAGGTACACGACCTCCTCTGCCCATGTTAAATGAAATTGCAAGTGTGTTCTTGGAAGCTAGAGACTGATAGGAATGGATGGTAACTGTGCTCAGCCTCTGCATAACACAGATGTGATTTTAAGTGCATATATCCAACACTTTTTGATAATGAGAACCTTAATTTCTATAGAATTCAATGAGAGCAACAGTTGAATTTCAAGAAAACAGTCCTTCCCTTTCTCCAGTTGAAGTGACGGTTGTTCTTGGACATGAGGACCTGGCAATTAAGGTAATTCATTGGCCAAAAACAGCATGGGCCTGACAATCTTTATGATTTCATATGGTACAACAAATACTGTTAAGGAACTTATGCCTCCAACAACAGGTCAAAGTTCCTCTGCATGAGCCTTCTGTTGATAGCCTCCATCTAGAGCAATTATCTAACCGAAAAAGAATATGCTACAAACAAATATCTACATTTATGGGAGGTTTTGCTCCAATACTAGCATTTTACATACTATTTTTAGTATATGATTGCAATTAACTTTATTCTCTCTTAAATCAGATCTCTGACAGAGGAGGTGGTGTTCCAGTAAGGAAAATTGAGCAGCTGTTCAGCTACATGTATTCTACAGCACCAAGGCCAAGGATGGATGATGCTCGACAAACGCCTCTTGTAAGATGATTTCAATACCTGTAGTGCTAACAAGATATTATATCTATTGCATAGAATAATAGATTCATCTTAAATAACAAAACATTATGTCTATCCTTCTGCTCTATAGAGTATAGAGAGATTACTGAGCTTCAGAGACATGAATTAACACTTTCTGGAGTAGTTTTTAAGTATCTAGCTTAGCTGACAAAAACACCTCCTTTAAAGGTATAGACAAAGAACATTAGCACCTGAATCTAACTCTTTCGCTCCACCCTCTTACTCCAAGGATAGCAATTTAGTTGGTCTTCACTACCACTCAGTGCTCAAATATATTATAAATATCTTTATGGAGGCAAAGACAACTGGGATAGGCTTAGAATACTGTTTATCACTAGTAGCAATCAACTTTGACTAAACAAGTCTTAGTGGAAAAACCAGGCAGGGAAAATAAAGAAATTTAATGCCCTAAAGTAAGACATGCAGAGCCCTTTCCTCTTCCATGGAGGTTTGACTTAAAAGCTCTTTCAGAGTCTAAGATGGCCTGTTCAGTATTTCTTATGAAGCCGGTCAGAATTTTATTTTCTTTTAAGGGAAGATGAAATGCAGAGACTTTTTAAACGGTTTAAAATCTCTGAACACTTTCTGGTTATCTAATTTTATATCACAGGAGCTAGTAGAGGTAGAAAAAAAACTTTGATATTTTTGTATTGTACTTTATTTTTTAGGCTGGCTTTGGGTATGGTTTGCCAATTTCTCGTCTGTATGCTAAATACTTTCAAGGAGACCTAAATCTCTACTCCATATCTGGTTATGGAACAGATGCAATTATCTACTTGAAGGTATGTATTTTGATAACCACCAATAATGCAATGAGGTAACTACTGTGGCATTGTTTTAAGGTTTAAAAAAAAAAAAAAATCCTCTGCTTGTGAGTTAAAGCTCTCATTTTGACTATGAAATGCCAGTAAGTATTGTGACTGGTACTTAGAAGTAAAGTCATTCATTGTTCCACTATATAAATGTTGCATTTCTAATTAACTGTTTCCCAGCACAATATGAAATATTTTTTAATTGCAAAATATAGAGGAGGAGAGGAACATACCTTAAAGTTTTTGTATACTTCTGTAAATAGAAGTTCTGTTCTGCTTTTTCCAGGGTTATCTTGAAAACAAGTTACGGAATACTTTTAAGGCCTATAAAGTACACAAATATGATCTGATATTGCATTTATGTTGATGAATTATTCATGACAAACCTAAATACTAAAGCACATCTTAATTATTGCATCTATTCTGTCATTCTGTGTGATTCTGTGATTCTAGGAATACTTGCATAATTTTTCTCTATTTTTTGAGGCTTAACACTTCAAATATACTGCATGAATTTTTTTGCAAAATGGCATTATTGAGAAGCAGAAATTGAGTAACTCTTCTCCTTGATTTTAGGCACTATCAACGGACTCAATAGAAAAACTCCCAGTTTTTAACAAATCTGCTTATAAGCATTATCAAGCTACCTCAGAGGCAGATGACTGGTGTGTCCCAAGTAAAGACCCAAAGAATGTATCAAGGCAGAGTGCAGCTCTCTGAAGGGAAGTTGGTATCCAAGGCACCCAAAGGGATCAAGCTGTCTTCTCAACAAGGACTAGTGTTTGGAAGTATTAGTTTCCTTTCAAACAGGCAAATTTTTCAGTTTTGTGACTGACAAGAGAAAGATCAGGAGTTTAAGCTAGGCTGTATGCATTGAATATGAATTCTTGCTGTGGACTTCAGGATGAGGAAAATAAGTGCATGGAGGAATGTGTACATTTTTACTATGTCTTTTAAGAGTTGCATAAAGAGGAAATTCAGTCTATTTTTTAATCCTATGATCAAAGACTTCCATGTGGTAGAAGCGTGCATTTTTTGACTCCTATCTAATGCTTGAATTCTGAATACTGATAAATGTCAGTGGCATATATTTTTTTTTCCTAGACTAGTTATCAGCACCTCATCTTATTACAGAACTCCTCAGGTAGACAGGTGCACTTGTACTTTAAAACTGTATTTATAACATTGGGAAAAGATCCTCTTCACATGGCAGGCTGGTAGCAAGATGCAAACAGCATACAAATGCAGCTTGAGTGAGAGGGAGGGAGACATTCCCAGGCAGGGAGACAGTGACTTCCATGTAAAAGGAAATCCCACTTAAAAAAAAACAAACAAAAATCCCTATATTCCAGTAGTAGTTCTTATGTGATGCCTTGCTCCAAGTTATATTTCTTGATTTTTTTCTTATGGTTTTCATGAAAAAGTAGTAAGGTAAGGCTCCTGTGCATAAGATACTAGGAAGGAAATCGGGATACTTGAGGCAAGAAGTAGAATGGCACTTGGTTGTAACAACTGTAAGGTAGTATCTACCCTACATCTGCAGTCTGGAAGACCTATGTTAAGTAGGTAGGTTAGGATTTTCCAGGAACTTAAGACAGATAAACATGCAAGTGGAACTGAAAGGTTTTGATGTTTTATGTAAACATGGCATGGGAAGCAGTGTGTTTAAAAAATGGTCTTGTGATTCTTTTTGGTCATGCTGTTAGAGGATTAGTGTCTCAGTACACTAAACCAAAATCAAAAAATTGGGACATGTGGTTCAGGTTTTGCTTCTGTGTAAAATCCAAGAACTTACCCACAGCTTTGTCAAATCTGTATCGGACCATACTTTAGCCCGAAGGTGTACATGGGGATTCTAAAGCCTGAAAGCTGTAATGAGCACTAAGCCTCTGTTTGAAAGGTTTTCAGGAAAAGTGGTGGTGAAATAGAATTTTCTTGTAAGAACTATTCCCTTGCAATGGAAAGGGTTTAGGAGAAATGAGAAGACTTAAATTATGAACAGCAATGAAAACTGTAAAATAAGTTTTATGAACAGCAAAATAGTAGGGAATGGCCACAGGAACAGTGTCAGTACGAAAGAGCTGTAGGGAGAATACTTCATTTTCCATGAGCTTCTTCCTTTCCTATCTTCTATGTGGATTTTCCCCCTCATAAGTGAGGCAAACTTAACAGAGTAGAAGTTAAGTACTATTTGGAATTGCTAAGTTGGCCAGTCAAAGTTTATCAGAAAAATTTTCGTACTTGAAAATTTTTTGACTTACTAGCATCGTTATCTTAAGTGTATGATCTTTGGCAAAAGGCTGCAAATACAGTATTCAAAGCATCCTGCCCAGCTGTAAGAAAGCTTTCTAAAGCTGACTTGGCAGAAAGCCACTCCATACTCTACTGTGAATATCAAATGTGTTTCTTAATTCTAGCTTTCTCTTTTTGCTATTACCTTTGTGTTCTAGCAGTCTTGTTGAGGTAGATTTCTCAATCAAAAAAAAACAAACCTAAAATAGCATTCTAATATGCTTCACTTGTTTTAGAAACTAAGTTTAGAAGCATTTTTGATAATTATTGAGCGTAATGACTTAAGTACTGCATGGAGGTCCATTTATTCCAGTGAATAACTTGCAGTCACCAAAAGTCACCAGATTATTTATCTTTGAGCTCAGCTCAGTAAATGAAATGGATAATAAAAATGAAATATCTCTATCTAGAAAATACAGGTGTGAAAAAATTGCCTTCACTGCCATAATATACTTGAATACTTTGATTTTGTATTGAATACAAGGTCACAAAAACATACCTAGGTAGTCATTGTTTTTAAGTAAGCACAAATTATACCTCTTTCTTTGTGCCCAATGTTGCTTGAACATGAGTTGTGATCTCATGACATACTTGGTATCTGTAATATAGCTGCAGCTACTCCAGGTGGGAGCTGTAACTTCTATTTCAAAGCAGTTGAACCACACAGGTACTATAAACAAATGTCTGTAATAGTGCTTGCAGATAGAAGCTTTCTGGATAAGTGTAACTTTTGAAGTTACTTTCACAATGCAGAAATTGGGATATGCATAGCAATTAAGTAAACCTTGGGGAATCTTTTAATATTAAAAAGTTACTTAAGGGCTATCTACCTAGATAACATAGTGCTTTTTTCAGCAGTTACTGATTTTTTTTTTAATTCCTGAAAATAAAGTTCTAGTTTTAAGCCTTTTACTATTATGTAAATGTTTAAATAGTTTTATAATAAAAATCTTCTAAATGGTTGACTAGTGTCTCTATTTTTCTCTCACTGCAAGCATGGGCTCTTCCACTTTTTTTTAAGACTTCAAATGGAGTTCAGCAAAGCAACTTTCATATTGTGTCAAATAGATGTTGCAGAGGAGAGAAACACAAGCAGTGCTAATGTTAGATCTGCTGAGAGTTTACGTGGTTAGCTAAAGTCTGTGTATTGCCTCACACCATCACTTTAGTCCTCCTTCAAGGAGGAGAAATTTAGAATCTCAAGTGCACAGTCTACCCTCTTTAGTATCTATTTACTGTTCATCTGTAAACTTGGAAAATGAAAATTGAAGGTCAAATTTAAGTTCTAGACAAAAATATTTTCTGTCATTTTACTTACATAAGCCATTACATTTAATGCAACCATTATATATTCCATTGAGATATTTCTGTAGGTCTCACATTTAAATTTTAAATTCTGCTGCTTGGTTTGTATAACCTGGTCTTTAAGTCCTGGAATCACAAATGATTGTGCAAGAATCAAGTGATGAATCACACTTCTAGTCTTTGTCCTTTTTTTAGCAAGACTTTCTAGCTGTTGTGAAAACTAATGCTCAGAACCTAGATGTTGGTGCAGATGAGTACAGTAAAAAGTAAAGGCTGTTTCAAATGATCTGAATTACAGTGTTCAGAAGAAACATGTTTTTCTTACTGTATACTATTTAAAAGAAGCAATTCTAGTCTTCGTCAGAGTGGTGAGGTGGGTTTTCTGGGGGGTAGGGAGGAGGGCAGGAGCAGAAAAGGAGGGTTATTTTAGTAGAGGATTTTTGATTCTAGCAATCTTTCTAATAGAGTGTCCACTGCTTTCAGTCACTTCCAAGTATCAAAAATAACCTTGACCTGGCAGCAAAGAAGAATTCAATGAATATTAAAGACAAGTTTTCTCCAAAGTACAAACAGAGCTGGACAGCTAGTTTCTCTTGGCCTCTTTGAGCCAAGAGGATCTTGCCATATCTTATCTCTTCTGATAAAAGCTTCAGTGACCAAGCTTCTTGACTTCAACCTCTACGTTTTCACACTACTGAAGGGAATTCATTGCCCTTCTATATAGCCCTAGGAAGTGGCAGAGGTTTTGAGAGCTGTCAGGTGTAGTCATAACTGATGGAGTTTCTAACTTCTAAGAAATCTGACTTCAGGAAAATTGATTCTAAGCCTCAGTCTTCTCACCAGGAAGGTTTGCTTTCAGTTTTACTGGCACAGAGTTGAGGAACAAACGCTGCTTAGTAGTTTGCTTAAACCATTCTTTTTAATGCAATCATTATATTGATATATTTCCATTTGTCTGGATTCTGAGGCTTGCCTTGTATGATCTGGTTGTTGTCTGATAGCACCTGTTTAAATATTAATTTCAGAAGCCTTCTCCCTGCCTCCCAAATTGCATCTTGTCCCTGCAGAGTCCTACTTGTAGAATAGGGATAAACATGTTTTCTAAAGCTCCTAAGAGGGAACATAAACATCTTGTCTAGTATAAACCAGTAGGCAGTCCCAGAAAGACTAGTTTCAGAGGCCGAGTTGGATAAGTGGGATCTTCCATGGCTGCTGCTGTGTAACTGTTGTGGTTAGGATGAAGCAAATCCACTGCCAGTGCAAGATTCCTGACGCTTGCTCTGAATTTAACCAGCTGGACTTCAAGTGGGATTCAGCCCTTAACAAATAACGTTTTCCACATGCTAAACAAAAATACCCATTCAGCTCTGAAACAAGGACACAGCAGCTTTCAATACTTGCTCGGTATTAGGACTATAGGTATTGGACAGAATAGACTGTGTCATAACAAAATTTCCTGTACAAACAATGATTTAATAGACTTTTTTTCCCCCAGGAATATCTTGCATATCTGGCATTTCCCTCATTTCTTGCATGCAGAATGCAAGATATTTCCCAGGAATATCTTGCATTGCCCTCAATTTAAAAAGAGCAACTGGAAAAATATACATATATATATAAAAATATAAAAGTACTTTACCTGGAAGGTCAAAGGCAAAAGAGGAGCAAACTGAGGCTGTGTGGCAGCAGGACTGAAGTGCTGTTTTTTGTTTTTTTTTTTTCCCCCTGCACAAAACCCAGTGAGGAAAAGGGGCCATGCAGCCAACTCCTGATTCAGCAAAGCACCGAAGGTACTGTGGTTGACTAACTGAACAACAAGCAGTTGTTCATTATCATCACTTTCCTATCGCTTAACCAAGCTTTCAAACCTGCCAGACTTTGCCCTCAGTGTGTGATAAAGCCCTTCCTGTACCATTATTTCAAAAGCTCTTTGAATAGCCTTTGTTACTTTTGATAAGAAATACTACCGGACTCGAAAAACAATTCCCCCCCCCCCTTACAGTAAGATGATAACTTAAGAGTATCAGCGTAAAACCAAGCTCTGTCTGCCCTTAACTTCTTGAGCAATTTTGGCCAATAGAAATGGAAAAAAATAGCAGTTCCTGATTTTCCAGGCTCAGTTAATGGGGGAAGGGGGGAGCAGGGGAGGAGCAGTGAACAGGAAGGGGCATTTTTCTGTGTTAACATCTTTGGGTTTGCTTTCCCTAAAAGTTTACAGCACAATTTTAAAGGACCTGTATCCGGATCCTGGATTACAGGACCTCAGACGGCTTTGCATACCTGCTGTCGCATGCACATTCAGGATGGAAAGATCTATTCGGTACCTGGCCAGCTGCTGCTCTTCTGTTCAGTCAATAAAGAGAAAGCGGGACACCCCTGGTAGGCAGTTTCAGTTGGCTCTACTTCTTTCACGCACCTTATAGGAAGTCCACGTAGACAGTCTGAATTGTTCCATTCCATCCTAAATATTGAATGGCAGCGAGAGGTCAGAACACAGTCCTGTGTCTTTTGAGGCCTCTTAATAATGCATTTTTTTGGTATAAGTGTTTGACAGAAGATAAAATATGCATAGGATATCAGGAGCTGCTCCTTACCATGTTTCCTCTAAATTGCTTCTGCAACTAGGAAAGAAAACCAAAATAGAGCACATGAATTGCCCCCATGTAGAATGGGCACAGAAAAGGAAGAACCTGCTTGATTTCCTGGTGTGTCGGCTGGAGAGCCATGAGCCTCATATGGCCTCCTGGGATTCACGTCCAGCTAAAGCCCAGACAGACTTGCAGTGCTGGGAAATGCAGCAAGAGGAGTGACCATCTTTTGGGGCTGCAGAGCAGCCTCTTGGGAGTTGAAAGAAAAATCATAATTTCGGGGAGCCATTTTTTAAATTATGTTATTGTGACACATCCAGGTAAGCCTGCTCTCTGGAGGGCTCAAATAAGAATGGCCAGTAAAAAAAGGTAATTGTTTTCATCTTTGTTTGTAAGATGGACTTTCTGTACTGCGTTCCCTGAGAAGGTAGAGCCTCAAAACTGAGAACCTTGGCACGGGATTCAGCTTGCCAAATATGACACCTTATCATGACACTATACAACTATTTGCATGTGTGCCTCCGTGCGAGTTGGGTCTTTAAGCTCCCGCTATAGTGACAAGAATCAATATATCTTGAGGACTCTAAAAGCTATTCAGCTCATCCTGAAGTAGACACCTACACTGGCCAGTCAAATAGTTCTCCTGTCTTCGATGACCAGAGTTCAACTGACTGTAGTGGGACCTTACACACCTAGCTCACATGCAGACCTACATTTAGGTGCCTCCAGCTGCTCCCCAGCTGATTGATTCAGTTTCCTAAACCCAGACACCCAATGTCGCATGAGAAGCTGTAGAGTATCCTGCTCATCTCCCATCTGTCACTCCAGAAGAACAGAAGTCTTCGGAAGGTCCTTAGTTATGCCTGCCATACCCATGCAGATATCTTGTATGGCTGCTCTAGGCTTCTTCAAGTGTGAGTGAACGTGGATGTTTAAGTAAATGACCCAAGCGCCCTTACAAATGCTGGGGGGTTGTGGGAGGCTGGGAAGCACCAGCGTCACCTCGCTGTTTTCGGTGGCAACAGTGGATAGATCATGGAAAATTACCTTGTGGATAATGGAGCCCTGTGCAGCTCCTTACGAGTGCCCCACATTTCCCAGCACTGCAGCTCTGTCTACGTTTCTGACTGGCGACGGTGCCTTACGACTGCAGGAGGTGGCGTGAGGCTCCTTCCCTGGGGCTTTATACCCCACAGGCAGCAACACAAGCATGTGAGGCCAGAGACCCCTCTCTGAGCCGATACGCTCTGTCAGACCTCAAGCTTGCACAGAGTGGGACACTCAAATACCAATTATTTGCCAATAATTGGATGGGATTTTTAGAGAAAATGAGGAGTTGACTGTAATTGATACCGATTATTGTTAAATAACATTAGGCATATTGAGAAATTAGGTGCACTGAACACCTTTTTGTGAGCTTTTTTGCTTATGGCTTTCTCTTTTCTAGCAAGATTACAGCCCACTACTGGTTGATTTTTAACAAATTAACTGGGAAAGAGGGTGGAATACCTGGCAGGGATACTTGTCCTTTCCTCCAATCAGTGTGCCAGCAACATTAGTGATGTGCTTTGCAAAGGGTATTGGCAACATACAGTCACTCCACTGCTGATGAAGGATACCACTGGAGGAATTCAACCTTCGTGCAGGGGTGGACCACACAGTTTATACCACTGTGCATATTAACAGGTACATGTTGCTGCATCACAAATGTTAGGAATCTGTTTGCTCAGGCATAAAACTTAATTTGTGTTGACACAGAAGAACTTGCTTCTGCTTAGCCAGGGCCTGATATAAAACCCTCTGAAGTCACTGGACAGCTTTACACTGTTTCTAATCAAGTTTGCTGCAGGCCTTACATAAGTACAAGATGAAGAAAGCTTAATTTGGAAAATGTGACCTGGGAGACTCTTGGGGTTCTCGTTGTTCGTATTATTTGCAGAGATGCCCAGAAACCGTCCACTGCTCCAATTCGCTTCATCAGCTTTGCCTCTGCACCCTTACCCTCC